ATCCCCTCCCTAACTCCCCACCTACACTCACCTTTACTGGCTCCATCTCCGCCCCTTCGACCTGTTTGTTTCCTCTCCACCTATCCTCTTCTCTATCCATCTTCTATCCGCCTCCCCCTCTCTCCCTATTTATTTCAGAACCCCCTTCCCCTCCCCCATTTCTGATGAAGGGTCTAGGCCCGAAACGTCAGCCTTTCTGCTCCTATGATGCTGCTTGGCCTGCTGTGTTCATCCAGCCCCGCACCTTGTTGTCTCGGATTCTCCACCATCTGCAGTTCATGCTATCTCTGATCAAAACAAGCATCTGGTTAAATGGTTCCCCAGTTCTAAATGGAGTTAGATACCAGTGCAGCCATTTCAGCGATCGTGGAACCAGTCTTCAACAAGATTTGTTCTGGTCTCCAACTCTCAAGTTTGCATGAGACCTCGGCTAGACTGAGAACCTATACCAGAGACCCTTTACAGATTAAGGGTACAACTTCAGTTCCGGTCTCTTACGACACACAGCTGGTTCACTTACAACTTACTATAGTAAAAGACTTGGGCCCAAGCTTGATGGGATGAAATTGGTTAAGAAAGATTCACCAAGATAGGGTCAACATTTTTCAATTAGAAACATTTCCAGTCACAGCTGACAATATCAGGCTTTGGTCGCAGAAAGATCTGGTCCTGGCAAAACTCAAACAGTTGGTGATGGTGGAAGTCAAAGAGCCGTCACAACCATAACTGGAACCTTTTGGGACCTGGAGAGACCAGATCACTGTAGAGGACGGCAAATCATAATGGGAAGCAATAGTGATTGTCCTGAGCAAAGGTCGCCGCCGGATACTGGTTGAACTCCACTAGGGTCTCCCTGGGGTTTCCAAAATGGAAAATATCTATTGGACAGGATTGGATATAAACATAGCTGTGTTGGTGGGGTAGTGCTCAGAGTGCCACCAAGGACAAAAATTACCGCCAGCAGCTCTCTGACATTCGTGGTAATGGCAGGGTTAACCCTGGATTTGGTTATATGTTGACTATACAGGCCCTTTCATGGGGTCAATGTTCTTAGTCACTGTGGATGCCCACTCAAAGTGGCTGGATGTGCATAGAGTTAATTCGTCAAACAGGTGGATGACAGTAGAGAAACAGCACACATCTTTTGTGTTACATGGACCCCCGGAAGTATTGGTCACAGATACTGGGCAATCGTTTACCAGCAGGGAACTTCAATATTTCCTAAAGTTAAAAATTCACAAAATTGAGTCACCAGAGTGAATTTTATGCTGCTTCGCAGGAACAGGTGATCCAGAAATGAGAAGATTGCCAGCTCCTACCCTGCCTTTAAAAAGTATCTAATAATGTTTCATTCATGTAACAGTCACTTGGTAGGAGTCCACAGAGCACAAAGAAAGGGTGGGCAGACCATCAATCAGGAATGAAAAGCTGAGGCAGAAAGGCCAGAACAGCAAAGTTGGTCCTGACACCCATTTCAATGCAACCCTGGCATGAGACTTTGCCAACTGCACTAGAAACCATGATTTGAAGGCTAAAGCTATACCCCCTGAGAAGACGTTTAAAATGTTTTAAGTATTGCAGTGGGTAGATTTTAAGTGTGGGTGGCCTTTGAGGTGAATTATTCTTGTCCCATGCCTGAGAAAGGGCACTCGAATGCATCTGATGCATTCCCTATATGAATAACAAGCATTCGTGAGCAGACTTGAAATTAGTCTTTTAATTCTGTCTTTTTTAAAAAATTCATCTGTGGGATATAGACATCGCTGGATGGGCCGGCACTTATTGCCAGTCCCTAGTTGCCCTTGACAAGCTGCGTTCTCGAATTGCTGCAGTCCGTGTACTTTAGGAAGACCCATAATGCCATTAGAGAGGGAATTACAAGATTTTGCCCAGTAACAGTGAGGGGATGGTGATATATTTCCAAGTCGGGCTGGCAAGTGGCTTGGAGGGGAACTTGCAAGTGGTAATGTTCCCATACATCTGCTGCCCTCGTACTTCAAATGATCGCAGTCATGGGTTTGGAAGAAACTATCTTTGGTGAATTTCTGTAGTGCCTCTTGTAGATTGTACACATTGCTGTTACTGAGTAACGCATTAGAGGAAGTGGATATTTGTGGATGTGGTGCCAATGAAGCAGGCTGGTTTATCCTGGATGGTGTCAAGCTGCTTGGGTGTTGTTGGAGCTGTATTCGAGGCAAGTAGAGTATTTGATCACACTCATGACTATTGCCCTGTAGATGATACTTTGGGGAGTTTCTCCACAGACAAGGGAGAGAATGGACCCACCAGCTGGTCAGAAATCTGGACTCATAGCAGCCCCATTGTTTGACGATAGCTCCCTGAATCTCATTCTTCAGATTTTGTGATAGGCTGAATGTCCTCATTTCAGAAAACAGGAAGAGATGACCTCCGAGCCACATAAAAGCAGTCTGGTTAGAGGTTATAACAGAGGTCATCAGCTTTGGGGTCTTGAAGAGAACCAGAGTGTAGTGCCATAAATGGCTCAATGACTTTTTGTATAATATGTCTGGACAAGTGTCTAACCATTCCAGAGAGTCAGAGTTACACAGCACAGAAGACGACTCTTCGGTCCAACTAGTTCATGCTGACCAGATATATTGAACCGATCTGGTCCCATTTGCCAGCATTTGGTCCATATCTCTCTAAACCCTTCCGATTCATAAAGCCAGCCAGATGCCTATTAAATGTTGTAACTGTACCCACCTCCACCACCTCCTCTTTCAGCTTGTTGCATACACACACCACCCTCTGCATGAAAAAGTTGCTGCTCAGATCTCTTAAATCTTTCTCCTCTCATCTTAAACCTATGCCATCTGGTTTTGGACTCTCCTACCCTGGGAAGACAACCTTGACTATTCAACAAATCTGTGCCCCTCATGATTTTATAAACCTCTCTAAGGTTACCTCTCGGCCTCTGACGCTCTAGGGGAAAATAGCCTCAGCCTCTCCTTATAGCTCAAACCCTTCAATCCTGGCAATATCCTTGTAAAATCTTTTCTGAACCCTTTCAAGTTTAGCAACATCTTTCCTATAGCAGGAGGAACACAGATGCAAGGGTAAGGGGATGTGAAATGGATCAAATGTGGAACTGTCTGTTGTAGAAGGTGGCATGCCACAGCCATGTCACTCTGTCAACGGATGTTGAGAGGTGGAATGTTACTCTAGTCATTGCTAGATGGTTAAAAAAAAAACATTGAGAACATCCATCCCTGACAAAGTACAAGTTGGCTACACTGAAGGCATGCTTGCAGTACACAGTCACTGCAATGTCTTTTCTCATATCCAGGAAAAGGCAGCATACAATGACAGAGAAGAGGCCAGTTCCAGGGGTTGTCAGTTTAACTTGAACATTCTCAGCTTGCTAAAGGTAGTGATCCTGAACCTTGAGACGCATTACCGGAGCCGATCATTGGGTGAGGCTAGGCAAGGTTGGGGGAAGCTCTCAGGGCAGTGAGGTTCCAAGATCCTTATCTCTGTCCTTAAACAGATGGTCATGGGCAGGGTAGTGGTGGCAGGCAGGGGAAGGAAAAAAAATGTAGCCAGTAAGGATGCAGTGGGGCATAACTGGCTTAAAAATCCATCAAGAAGTCTCCGTATGCCATCTGGAAAGGCCCTGCAGCAAAAGAATTTCAGCATCATGACCTTCAAGGCCACAGATATCAGATATGCACTTAAACAATAGAATCCAATTTTGAGATCCAGCATTTCACAGATTGCAGTTACCATGTTCCTAGACAGCTCAAGTCTTCAGAGGTATTGATACTTTGTCATTTCCGAGTATCTGAGCCTGGGTTAGTAGACTCTCTCTGCTGGATAGTGTCTCATCTGTTGTTTGTTTGACAGCTGTTATTGTCATTCCCCTACAGGCCTTTTGGCAGCATCAGATAAGTTAACGTGATGGACCACAAGACAGAGCTGTCCTTTGCCAGCTACCATCTTCCTTCTCCTCCCAGGAACCCCTCTTAGTTTGGACTATTCCAATTAAGTACAGTGACATTCACCACAAACACGACTGCCCACAATTTTGCCTTCAATGTTTCCTGGCTCTTCCATTTCCTCATAAAACTTCCCACGGGAGTTTTAAATTGAAAAAGAAAATAACTGCAATAACAAGTCTCCTTGCCTTGTTCTGGTAAAGTCAGTCACAGTCCCAGTTGCAGATTTTAAAACCCTTTGCAGCATTACCATTAAAAGATGTAACTACTTCCAAAAACGTTTCCCAAGCACCCACTGAATTGTGCGGTCAACAGATTAGTCAGTTCAATGCAGAGTAACTTCTAGATCAGAAGCTGGCGTAATAACATCAGGTTCATGACCTGACATCTTTACACCAGATTTCAGTTATATGGAAGATAGCAGAAGTCCTAGTCTCAGAACATAACATTCAACCCCTTAAATTAGTAACAAGCAAAATTAATTTACTGTTTTCAGACTTCTAACATCAATATTTCATTTTACTATTTAATTCAATATTCCTCCTCCCTGGAAGTTTGAATCAGACAACAGAAACTCAAACCAAAGTTCTGATAAATGCATCTGTTGCAAATTTTAAACAATTTATGTACCATTTGTACACCAACTAGATCCCATGCTATCAGACTTTAACGTACCTGGATCTTGTAAATTTGGACTCGGAGAGATTTCTGATGAGTTGAGACAGTATACTCCACTTTTATAGCTGGCAGATAATTTCTCCTTATTGGTACTTCAGAAGGTTGTAAGAGCTTCATGTCCACGCCATTTGGAGTTAAAAGTGCCTTTTTTTTTGCAAGAAATAAAAGTCACTTCTGAATGTTTACTCTGAAAGACATTCTTTTACGCTGAAACTAAATAGTCACTCGTGTAGCCACTACAAATGATGTAAAATATATGATTTGCTCTCTACGTTCAATGTCTTTATAAAATTGACACAGTCTAAATTTAGAAGAATAATCAGACCTTGAAACAAAAACAGAAATTGCTGAGAAACTCAGGAGGACTGCAACAGCTGTGAAGAAAAAAATAAAGTTAACATTTCAAGTCCAGAGACTCTCCTTCAGAATAATCAGACCATGAATTTCCCATTATTTTAATCCATGTCAAGCAAATGCTAATTTTAATGGAGTGACCTGTTAATAATATATTAAACCTAATTAAACATTTTGAGACCACAGGCCTTTTCTTGTAATTGCAAATTTTGCCATTCACTTTACTTAATCATTAAAATATTCAAATATAAACAATTTATAATTTTCAACTGACCTGAAATTCACATGGAAGTTCAGCAACGTGGTTCTCTTGGGGAGAAGACTCGATATATTCTTTGTAAATCTCTTCCAGCTCAGCTGTTTGCTTTCTACTCATTGGTTTCCAGCGCGATTTCACTTTGGGTTTACTTTCCCAAACAATATCAGAACTGAGTTGCAAACAGAGTAACAAACATGTAAAGTTCACCAAAATTGCATCCAATTGTCCTAACATAGAAAAGCCTGATGTAACGTATTCTGTATGTATATAGCCTTCATTGTTTTCAATGTGAAATAAGAATACAACAATATCATTAATGGTTTGAAATTTTCTATTTCTGAATGGAACTAGTAATTTGTGGTCAAAACCATGCACTTTAATAACAGGAACCATATATGAAAGTTGAAGGTCAGGTTCAGTAATGCATTACATTTCACAATAATTTGCTACAAAGCATGCATTCACCTTGTTATACCAATGTAGACCACTTCTTGCTTTGTTGAATTATTAATCAGCGAAATCCCCAAGTTCTGTAGTGACAGAATGATCTCCTGTTCAGCTTGCTCTGCTGTCTCATTTTCTTGAGTAAGTCTGAATGTTCCTTCATCATCTGTGAACACAATGATTCTCTGCAGACCCTCAAAGAAGGATGCTAAATAAATCTTCCCATTTTCTTGTGGAAACTCTAAGAATATATCCTGAAAGTAAAATAGCTTATTTGAACACTGAATGTCCTTTGCAAGTTTGAAAATATTTGGCTGTTAAGTGTTGCAAAAGTAAAGAAAAAAAGGGCAAAATGGATACTAAGGAAAAGGCATATACTAAATATGTAGGGAGAGAGACTGATACGAGAGAAAAGATTGGTAAAGTTCAAAAAACAACAGGACAAGAGCTACTATACAATTAAATTATTAGGGCATCTAAAAGAAATATTTTACAAATTTATTAATATTCAAAAAACAAGATACGAACACTAAGGATCAGACACCATGAACCTCACAGCGTGTCATGGGACGGGGAAATATTAATTCTTTCCATTGAACCATAGTAAAGTTAAAGTTACAGCTTTGGAAAAAGTCGTTTAGCCCATCATGACTGGTCTGGCTGAATAAATTAGCCATCCATTCCAAGCCCACTTAACAGGACCCTCTTAACCTTGCGAGTTACAGCACTTCAGGTACAGATCAAAGAAGTTGATGGCTTCTGTCTCAACCACCAAACTGGACAGCAAATTCCAGATATCCACCACTCTGAGAACAAGCTTGTTCTCATGTTCCCTCTAATACTTCTACCAATCGCCTTAAATCTGTGCCTCCTGGTTATTAACCTGCTGGGGGAAAATGGTCTTCCTTGCCCACTCTGTCCCAGCCCCTCATTATTTTGGATAACTTGATGACCTCCTCTGCTTGAATGAAAACAACCCTGCCTTATCCAACATTTCATCATATCTACAATTTTCAAATCCTAGCAACCTTCTTGTAAATTTCCTCTGTACTCTCTCTAGAACAATTATGTCCATTCTGTAATGCAGTGACCAGAACTGTACATAAAACTCCAGTTCTGGCCCAGCCAGTGTCTTATGTAGTTAGGGCATTACATTTTTGCTTTTGCGTTCTATAACTCGCGCAAGTAAAGCAAAGCCATCACATGCCTTTTGTACTGTTACCTGTCGGTCCTAACATCTTTGGAACACGTACACTCCAAGGTCTCTTCCTCTAGCCCTCTGCACCCTCCCATTTATTGTGCATTCCTTCGCTGTTTACCCTTCTTTAAAGCATTTCTCCACTCATTCAATCAAACTATTGATATCTTTTCGCAGTCATCAGCCATCCTCTTTGTCAATTTTTGGCTGTCCACAAATTTCCTTAGCAATAGTTACAAGGGACAGTGGGCATGAAGTGGAGATCAAAAATTGTAGTGATTTTAGAAAGGGGCTGGGAAGCAGAAGGATAAGCCAAACTTAGACAGGATAAAACTTACTCTAGATGGATTGAATCTACACCTGAGGTTAGAGAAGATGGAGCAGAAATATATTCACTTGTAAAAAGTCAGTAGGAAAGAGGAAAGTTCAAGAGGACGTGTGGACAGCTAGTGAGGAGTTTTTTAAAAAAAAAAAAATGAAAGATGGACTAAGTTGAGGGTACCAGGCAGGACAGAAATTATAGGCCCAATGCTGTTCCTGGCCTGAGGCACAGTTCTACCCTTACTACTGGGACCTTGATAACTTACTTCTCTCACAGGCTCTGCAGACAACTATTTGCAAAAAGTGTATTATTGAGGTTATAGGATGTTAACTGAAATTCAGTTGATCAATAATACTTTCACCTTGTAGGTTGAAGCATCACTCCTGAGACTTGTGCACAAAAACCTAGGCTTACAATCCAATGCAGCATTGATAGGAGTGCTGTAGAGTTACACGTCGTCTTTAAAATAAGGGATTAAAGCATGGCTCTCCCAGATGGGTGTATAAAAATCCATCTATTGTTCTCAAGAGTGCAGGAGTCATTGCCGGTGAAATTACTAAAACCATTCTCATTAAAATATTGTGCTATTTGGGAGACAGCACATATAATCAATGCTACATTTCTTACATTACAATAGTGCTTACACTTCTTAAGTATATCATTAAGTACATCTGAAGTATGGCTGTAAAATGCTTTGGAAGGTTCTATGATTGGGAAAAAAATTCTATACCGATGTTGCTAAAATAATTATTTTATCAAACAAAGCACAAGCTCAAAGAGGCCATCTAAGTTGTGGTCTTCTTCCACTTCCTTATGTTCCTACTCCTCAGCTTCTCACCAGATAGGTGCTGGGAAGAGTTGCTCTCTCATGTTATACAATTTAGAGGATACTACCGAAAAATTTGAGACCTGCTCACCTGAGTAGCGTAAAGTTCTTTCAGTGTAGTCCAGACAGAAGCAATGCTCGAGGACACCCATGATATTCTCTATAATATTCCATGTGGTAATACGCTGTCATTTTATACCTACTGCACACAAATGCATAGGTCCCAGACTACGTTATGAGTTGTGCTATAAGTGGATAACCCTCATCACCCAAAAGTCAGCAGTAACCTCTTATTGTGGTTCAAATACAAGTGGTTACAGGATGAAAGGATTCGTCGACTTTATACATGATCTAAATTGTGGTAAGATAACTGTTATTTAAAAACGTTTGTGGATAAGGTTTCAGCAGGAAACCATTCTTTCCTTCCTCCCTCTTCCAGCATCTTGTCTTGTTCTGCATGACTTTTCAATTTTCAGTCATGCTTAATACTAGGTAATCCTTGTATTGAAACAAGTTGCTTCTGAATAAGTTTGTAAATAAAATATATTTCAGCATTAAATTTTTGATAAGTACAGGACAGGAGTGTTCCAAAAAAATGCATACAATTGCATCAGCAAACAGAATAAATATTAAAGCAATGCACCTGGAAAAAACTTGTAGCACAAAGCAGGATTACTTCAAGTAATTTAATGTTGAGAGTTAATTGTGTTAAGTCAAGATTGGGAGTAGAAATGGTTTTGGAAAATTATGGCACTGTCATTAATTAATGTGTAGCACTGTTTTGATGTCATAATCTGCATGCTATTCATGCTGCCAGATATCAGAAGGTGCTCATAAGCACAAATCCTTTTCCCAACTGACCCCGACTAAGTTTTTCCTCCGAAATCCGTATGAGCAACTTGGAGGCTTGGTGTTACAGTCCAATTTTATTTCCCATGGCCTGCTGTTTCCGAGCTGCAAACAGAATTTAAAGAGAAGACATTGGCTCCACTGCTGTTTGGAAATTCAGAGGGATATCTGCCTCAGCCAACCTGAAGGCCACAGCCCAACTTTCCTTGATAATCAGTTGCCCGAGATCATGGCTTCCAACTCATTGAGGCAGTTTGGCCTGTCGCCAAGAACTGTCAGCCAAGCAATGGACAGCAGTTCTTCACTCCCAGTTAGGCTACTGATGGGACTTCAGCAGTTTCTTGTGATGACACGTGCCATTCCCCATGGCGGTGCCAGTCTAATTGCAAAGTGACTTACAAGTAGTCATTAAGTGGTCACTTAGGGGCCTCAATTAACTTGAGGGCGGGCAGGTGGGCCACCCAACACCTCACTCACTAGTAATAATGAAGATAAGCTAGAAGCTTAAAACATAAGGCACAGATTTCAAAAGGTAAGGCCATGCATGATCAACCCATTGGATTTTTTGAAGAACTTACAGAAAGGGTAGCAAAGGGAAAATGTGGTAAACAAATTATACTTAGGTTTCTAAAAGATCTATACGCGTGCTCACCGCTCCTTCAACTGCTTTCCTCATTTTCTGTTCAACATTATCATCAGGAGTGATTGACATCTGCAACACACAATGCTGCCCAACAGACCCAACATCAACACCAACTCCAGCCTACAAAATTGCCTTGATCCTTCGAAATTCGCCTATCAGCTCAACAGGCCCACGGCAGATGTGATTTCCGTGGTCCTACACTCAACCCTGGAACATCCTGGATAACAAGGATACCTAACTCTGACTCCTACTTATTGACCACAGCTCTGCCTTCAACATTATAATTCCAAACAAAGTCATCTCTGAACTCCAACACCCTAACTCTCCCTCTGTAACTAGATCCTTGACTTCCTCACCCATTGACTGAAATCAGTAAGAACAGGTGACAACACCTCCTCCATCATAATCCTCAAAACCAGTGCTCTGCAAGGCTATGTACTCAGCCTCTACTATACTCCTTATATACTCATGACTGTGTGGTTAAATTCTGTAGGTCACGTCTCAAACAACAAGACAGAATACAGGAGAGAGATTGAGTGCTTAGTGGGATGGTTTAAAGACAACAATGATCACTTCACAGCAAACTTTCATGTTCAATTTAACTGATTCGCCTCAGTTCTTTCCACTGAATTGTGATGTATTCTTAGATGAATATTCACAAAACTGAAAACTTAGTCTTTCTCAGCTTTTAATAACCTGCAGGTTTCTAACTAAATATTCTTGTCTGGAAGTTTCCCAAATTAAACATTCACACTGAGGTAAGTGCGTTTTCCTTGAACTGTTTTATAGTCCTTTCTAGGACAGAAAATGTACTTATTTCTGACCCTAGTCAGGTCTCTTCCAAAACCGCCAAAATGCTTTAATCTCTGGGTTTTTCTTGCACTAACCATTATGGTATTGCCTTAGGCAGACCTCCTGAACTAGGAGATGGTGGTCTTGGTCACTTGAGGGGCTTATTTCTCACTTCCTTAAGTCATCAAGAGATGATAAATAAAAAAAAGCACATAATGTTCCAAGTTCAACAGATCTTACATAGAACATACATCTGTTTACATACATGAAACACATGTACAAGCTTAGCAATACCTGATATTGCCTAAACTAACCTGCTTTCACCACGTCACACTGTTACAGAGTCATAGGAGTTGTACAGCATAGAAACAGACCCTTCGGTCTAACTCGTCTATGCCAATCAGATATCCTAAATTAATCATAGAATCCCTACAGTGTGGAAACAGGTCCTTCGGCCCAACAAGTCCACACCGATCCTCAGAGCATCCCACCCAAACCCATCCCCCTATAACCCACCTAACCTACATATCCCAGAACACTACAGGCAATTTCGCATGGCCAATCCACCTAACTTGCATATCTTTGGACTGTGGGAGGAAACCGGAGTGCCCGGAGGAAACCCATGCAGACACAGGAAGAATGTGCAAACTCCACACAGTCGCCAGAGGGTGGAATTGAACCCAGGTCCACTGTGCCACCGTGCCGTCCATTTGCCAGCATTTGGCCCATATTCCTTTAAACCCTTCTTATTCATGTACCCATCCAGATGCCTTCTAAATGTTGTAATTGTACCAGCCTCCACTACTTCCTCTGGCAGCATATTCCATGTAAGCACCACCGTCTGCATGTAAAAGTTGCTCCTTAGGTCCCTTTTACATCTTCACCCCTCATCTTAAACCTATGCCCTCTAGTTTTAGACTCCCCTACCCTGGGAAAAAGACCTTGGCTATTCACCCTATCCATGCCCCTCATGATTTTTTAAACCTCTAAGATCACCTCTCAACCCTCTGACGCCCTACCTACAACTCAAACCCTTCAATCCTGGCAACATCCTTGTAAATTTTTCTGAACCCTTTCAAGTTTCACAACATCTTTCCTAAAGCAGGGAGATCAGAATAGAACACTGAATTCCAAAAGTTGTCGAACCAATGTCCTGTACAGCCGCAATGTGACAACCCAATTAATCCTACAATCAATGCATTGACCAATAAAGGCAAGTGTACTAAATGCTTTCTTCACTACCCTGCCTACCTGTGACTCCACCTTCAAGGAACAATGAACCTGCAACCCACGGTCTGTTTGTTTGGCAACACTCCCCAGGCCCTTAACAAGTCTAAAAGTCTTGCCCCGATTTGCCTTACCAAAATTCAACAGTTCAAATTTATCAAAATTAAACTCCATCTGCCACTCCTTGGCCCATCCACCATCTGATCAAGGTCCCACTGTACTCTGAGATAACCTTCTTTGCTTTCATTACACCAATTTTGGTGTTATCTGCAAACTTACTATCTATACCTCCTATGTTCACCAGGAAATCATTTATATAAATGACAAAAATCAGTGGACCCAGCACCAATCCTTGCGGCACACTGCTGGTCACAAGCCTCCAGCCCGAAAAGCAAACCTTCATCACCTTCAAGCCAATTTTGTCTCCGAGTGGCTAGCTCTCCCTGGATTCCATGTGATCTAACTTTGCTAATTAGTCTACCATGCAGAACCTCGTCAAACGCCTTGCTGAAGTCCATACAGACTATGTCCATCACTCTACCTTCATCAATCTTCTTTACCACTTCTTCGAAAAACTCAACCAACTTAGTGAGACATGATTTTTCACGCACAAAGCAATGCTGATTATCCCTAATCAGTCCTTGCCTTTCTAAATACATGTGGAACCTGTCCTTCAGAATCCCCTCCATTAACTTAACTGCCAATGACATCAGGCTCACCAGTTTATAGTTCCCTGGCTTTTCCTTACCACCGTTCGTAAATAATAGCACCACATTAGCCAGTCTTCCCGCACCTCACCCGTGGCTATCGATGATTCAAATATCTCAGCAAGGGGCCCAGCAATCACTTCCCTTGCTTCCCAATACGTTCTAGGATACATCTAATCAGATTTTGGGAATTTATCTACCTTTATATGTTTTATGACGTCCAGTGCCGCTTCCACTGTAATATGGACACTTTTCAAGATATCATTATTTATTTCTCCAAGTTCTCTAGCTTCTGTGTCCTTCTCCACAGTATGTGGCATGTTCTGCTCTGACAGTATGCAGCTTTGAGGATCCTATGCAGGGCTTATTTGCATGGTCACACAGAGATGAGTGGAAAGAGGGAATGTGGCATGCTAAAGTTTCCTTGCAGATGTAGTATCTACCAGTCATTACAGAGGCATTCCACCACAAAGTCATTACAGAATACCACAAACGGCCGATGCTGCCAGGCCACGACTGGATCTTGTTTTCCAGCTTCAACATAAAAGAATGAGTGCTCCTTCATTATAAGGTGAACAGGTATCAGCAATCCTATGTTGGACTATCTCTTCTTATGTCAGCAACTAAATGGTCAACCAGTACAATTAATGCTCATCTGATCCCCTTTATTAACATTTCTCAGGGCCAACAATGCTAGTGCAACTATTTCTTACTCAGTAGGAACTCCCCCCAAGATCTACTTTTATACTGTGTCTGAAAAGTATTTGTCACACAAGGCCTGCCTCTGCCTAGATACTGCTTCCGAGGTTGATGAACTGCACTGTCACACATCCATCCCCGGAGCAAAGATTTGGCCATTTGTTTTTCCTGAAGCAGGTTCAGGGAGTTGGAAACTTTCCTGATTTTTGCACATCCACTCAGTGTGCAAATTTAGGCAAGAGACTCAGTTGCAGCAAATGGCATAGCTAGGACACTGCTTCTGTGAAGCAAAGCTGTCTCCCTTCAAAGTCTGAGATAAGAGTGGCTTGGTCAGCAAAGTGGGTCCATTAGACAAATCACTCAAATTGTTGTTAAACTGGAAGAAAATTTTGCCTTCTAGTTCATCAACTTGTTCAGCTCCACGAAAACATTCGCAGTGATTTACGTGTTCCAAATCTAATTGTACCACAACAGTAAGTACCAATATTACAGAAAATTGCTGCTCAGGGAATTGATTACCTTAGCAAAGATAGCATGTCAGCAAAATATGCGGTATCAGAGAAATAAACATAAATGCCGAAGACATGGCTCATGGAGCAGACATGCAATCAACTTTTATGACTATAGTAATGTGGTGGGGCAAAGCCTCTCTCAACTATGAAATTCAATGTCATAGTTTTGCTATTTAAATGCCAACTGCACATGCATCTTTCTCTGCCTCCAATGCCTCAAAAGTCAAAATTTGAAAAGTCTGATGTTACAAATTCTTTCATCAAAAAAAAAACTACCACCTACTTTGAATCAGAGATAGTAGGAACTGCAGATGCTGGAGAATCCGAGACAACAAGGTGCAGGGCTGGATGAACACAGCAGGCCAAGCAGCATCATAGGAGCAGAGAGGCTGACGTTTCGGGCCTAGACCCTTCATCAGAAAAGGGGGAGGGGAAGAGGGTTTTGAAATAAATAGGGAGAGAGTGGGAGGCGGATAGAAGAGGGATAGAGGAGAGGATAGGTGGAGAGGAAACAAACAGGTCGAAGAGGCGGGGATGGGGCCAGGAAAGGCGAGTGTAGGTAGGGAGTTAGGAAGGGGATAGGTCAGTCCAGGGAGGACGGACAGGTCAAGGGGGCGGGATGAGGTTGGTCGGTAGGAGATGGAGGTGCGGCTTGGGGTGGGAGGAGGGGATAGGTGGGAGGAAGAACAGGTTAGGGAGGCAGGGACGAGTTGGATTGGTTTTGGGATGCGGTGGGGGGAGGGGAGATTTTGAAACTTGTGAAATCCACATTGATACCATTGGGCTGCAGGGTTCCCAAGCGGAATATGAGTTGCTGTTCCTGCAACCTTCGGGTGGCATCGTTGTGGCACTGCAGGAGGCCCAGGATGGACATGTCGTCTGAGGAATGGGAGGGGGAGTTGAAATGGTTCGCGACTGGGAGGTGCAGTTGTTTGTTGCGAACCGAGCGTAAGTGTTCTGCAAAGCGGTCCCCGAGTCTCCGCTTGGTTTCCCCGATGTAGAGGAAGCCACACCGGGTACAGCGGATGCAGTATACCACATTGGCAGATGTGCAGGTGAACATCTGCTTGATGTGGAAAGTCTTCTTGGGGCCTGGGATGGGGGTGAGGGAGGAGGTATAGGGGCAGGTGTAGCACTTCCTGCGGTTGCAGGGAAAAGTGCCGGGTGTGGTGGAGCTGGAGGGGAGTGTGGAGCGGACAAGGGAGTCACGGAGAGAGTTGTCCCTCCGGAAAGCAGATAAAAGGTGGGGAGGGAAAGATGTCTTTGGTGGTGGGGTCGGATTGCAGATGGCGGAAGTGTCGGAGGATGATGCGTTGGATCCGGAGGTTGGTGGGGTGGTACGTGAGGACGAGGGGGATTCTTTTTTGGTTTTTATTGCGTGGACAGGGTGTGAGGGATGAGGTGCGGGAGATGTGGGAGACACGGTTGAGGGCGTTCTCGACCACCGAGGAGGGGAAGTTACGGTCCTTGAAAAACGAGGACAACTGAGATGTACGGGAGTGGAATGCCTCATCCTGGGAGCAGATGCGG